TATGATCTGTGAAGTCTGTTGGCTCCTCAACCGAGTCAAATTGACCACTATTCTAGAACTGTTGAATCTGCTTAGATGAACTACTGCTTTTGTTTAAAAGGTCCACATTCAAATCAATATATAAGTATGACAAAACATGCGATGGCCAGAAATATATTCATGTAAAATATAGAATTTAAATGATCAGATGGGAAAAATAAATGTGGAATTTAAAAGAGTGTGCATGAATGTTAGGTTTTGGTAACTGGAATGAGGAAAGAGAAATTATATATTTAAGCTTGACATGCCAGTCATAATCATTTTCTTTCAAAACAAATCAGAACCTTGTTATGTGTGAGTATTGGAATGAGATGAAAACGTGTGTAACAGATCTAACGAAAGGAGAGGTTATATTAAAGCTTGGAGTAATACTATTGAATTATAATGGATTCGGTTGTCACTAGAGGTGGTACAGTTTACTTATAAAATAACCTTAACTCCTGTGGTGGTATTAGAATCGTAAATAACGCAATTATAATTTATCTACAGTTATTGCAGTAGCGGTAGCTGCTTATATACTTATAACGTTAAAGCTTGTTTCGGCCTACAATGTCAAAAGCATTTTAAAGGTCTTCATGAACTCTCTGTAATTCTTGTTACTATAAATATTCTGTATTGAAGAACCTTTTAATGTTATAAATCATAAAGCTGTATTAGTTCTACAACGGAGTAAGATAAGAGTTTAGTAACACCAAACTCTACATGCGTTGTATAACTCTTATATATAGTTAAAGTTTGAACAGCAGTTTTGTACGATCATGATATAAAGGTTTTGGTAAGAATATAAGCTGTAGGTAACTCTTCAATGACACCGTTAAATATTTCTAACACTTAAAGTTTATGTGCTAAATATAATTGTATGAAGTTGTGTATTCAATTTTACAATGAGATAAATTAATTCGTAGAGATTACAAAAAAGAACAGATGGAGTGAGATATAAAAGTCAGCAACAATATCAGAATGGTTCCGTACAGTTTTCATGAGGAAGACTTTTTATAAAGATTTTTCGATTTTGGTAGTTTTATTTTGATAGTAGCTCGGGCGAAGAAGATGATAATTCTGATTTATTTACAAAAAAATATTATACTAAGGGGAAAAAATATATAAAATTGGTCTATTACCTTTCCCTAAGTGCCTTTCATTTTAAATGAAAGTTTTGAAAGCACAATTTCTCTGCCCACGGATCCAAGCACCATTATGCAGACGCTATTATTAAAAAAAAAAAAAACAATAAAGATGTTATATTTGAAACTCCCATTAAATCGTCTTATTTGAATATGCATACAGTTGAAAAACTCTCTTATTGGTTACAAGTTAATGAAATACACTCTGGTGAAATTAAGTGCAAATTACTTCATTTAACCCACAATAATATTTATTATATTGTAAGTACTTTCTGTCACTCCATAAACAGTATAGGAAGATAAGGTAATAAGAAGATTTAATATTAATTCGGCATTTTTTATTTAATAATTACTTTATTACGATATAAACTACAAATTGATATATAGTAGTAGCACAGCGTCGTCCTCTCGAGCGCCGGAGGTGTAACGCGGCATCCAAGCACGAACTGGGGACTCCACTCTAGCTGATTTAGATGAAATTTTACTATTAATTTCTGGGACCGGACGTTCTATGAGTTCTATGGAAAAAGCAAATAAAACGAATAATTAAAAATTTAAACAGGCGTTGTATGCTGTAATTATTATTAAGTTTTACTTTATAGATTATATTGTGTACGCATACTAAACTATTCGATGAAAGCTACCTAAAGATTAAGAATTTCGATAACTTCATATAGAACCCTAATCTCGATGTTTAAAGGTAAAGCTGAAAGCGTTATGTGACTCTTTTAAATCACCAAAGACCTTACAGCATACTTGGATATTGCCGCTGTCATTATTCGAGTGTAGTATTATACTTGAACGAAGACTGTACCTTTAGGAATAAGTCACCATTTTTGAACACTTTCTGTCAAGATAACCTCAAATGTTAATTAATACAAATTCACTTATTTTAAATCTAAGTACCAAAATTTACCCAATTATTGACTTGATTCTGACTTTATTAGTGTATACGAAGACTAAAACTGATCAATCTTTGAAAATTACAATCTAAAAACTGTTTTAGGTTATTAGCACTTTTAATTGTTTTCTTGATTTTTTACTTAAAATCATATATTTTTGAGGGCACAAAATTGAGATGAGTTACATAATACACAATCACATTAAACTTGCAAGCGCATGGTTGGTGAAACTAAAGATAAGCCTAAAGGATTAAAAAGGATACTTGGTGGTAAAAACACTGGTACGGCTTAAGGTTCGGGATAAAAATCAACGCCAATTAAATTAACAATCTGACTTTATTTACTTAATAAAATTAAATAAACAATCCAACAGCAAAATACACACTTTTTCAACTTCATTTATTCACGTCATTACATTAAACAACACTATTAGATCGTCCGGATAGTTCACTTCACTAGTTATCGCTTGTTGTATTCGCTTTGGTAATCAGTTCACTAGTCACTGAAAGAATAGTTCACCGCGTATTTAAAAGTGCCTATACCACATCTAGAATGTTTTAGGTCAAGACCTAGAATAAATTAAACATTCTAGGTTGGACTATGCCTTACCGGTGTATTCGAGGCATTGCGGAAAACTACTAGAACGGCTTCCCATCTATACGACACACGCAGTTTCAAAGGTGTTAGCGCGATTCAAATGACTCGTAATGCCATCTATTAACTTTTATTAAGTTATATATATCACTTACTTAGAATAAAACTTAAGGATTTTTACATCGAATGAATTTGAAAATAAAAACGACAGAGTAATAAAAAATCGGAAATGATCTCAGCAATGTATGCATTTCTTGTCTTTTTACCACGAATTAATAAATTCCTGAAGGAATTTGAATGACACTTTAAGCTATAAGTTATATTTTTTCGTCCCTCGGGAACCCATAGTAGAATCGATAGAAGCTGTATTGTAGATAACATGTCAATGTTATGATAATGTTTATTTCAATTCCGTATCAGGTTTGAACCCTTGAGAACACCATTTTTGTTATCCTTAACGACCTTGTTTTTCTCACATTTTGTGTTGCATGTTTATATATGTTTATAACATTTTTGTATATAATATCGCTCATTTGGGACAAAAACGTGTTAACGCAATTATGTATCGTTATAGAATAATAATACAGTAGAATTCGGCGCATTGTGCTCTACTTGCTGCTAAAACGCGATATTTCTAGCGCCGAAAATGACCGAGTAATGAAGGAAAAGGATGGCGACTATCGGTTTAGCGCTATAGCTTTCCGCTCCTATGTTCAATGCAAGATCGGTTCATCACGTCAGTTGTCGCCGTTCGCTTGAGGAGGAAAGTGCTGCCTGATTGCGGCAAAAATGTAACAGCTCATGGTGTCACGGTTTTGATGAAAAGGTAAATACAGCTTTTTGTTTTTTCAGTGATTTACTTTTTTTTTTTCATTTATTTTGGTAAAGTTACTTTTTGTTTTTTTGCAGCTATAACGGGACATTTGTATGTGGCTCATTATTGAAGTAAAAATAGTAATCGCATGCTATGATTTATATAGGATTGTACCGTTGTTGCTGAAATAAACAATTATTTTTGTTGGTTAATTTGAGATATTCCGTTACAGTTGATAGTAAAAGTACAAAATGTTTGGTACTAATGTTGGTTATCTCAAATTAACACTTTCTTGATAAAAAATAATTTTTACAACGAATAGCTTACAATGTTACATTATAAATGACACAAGGAATTAATGAACATTCACGTAAGTTAGAAAAATGAAATATTAATACCGATTCTCAAAATCCATACCATCCATACTAATATAATAAATGCAAATGTCAGTTTGTTTTTTATTTGTTTGTTTGTCCGTCTTTCACGTCAAAACGGAGCAACGGATCGCCGTGATTTTTGGTATGGTGATAGTTTCGGGGCTGAAGAGTGACATAGACTACTTTTTATCCAAAAAATATCACATTCCCGCGGGATAACATCGTGTAGGTAGTCCACCCGGGCGTAGCCGCGGGCGAAAAGCTAGTACAAATTAATTAAACTATCTATTTATTTTTTAGCATGTGAATCAGCTCCGGAAGAACAACAACTGAAATGTAACCGGCCTCATTGCGACTCGATTAGTTCTTTGAGCAGCAGCATTTCTTCATCATCGATTCCATAAATTATTGAAGGTATGTTCACTTATAATAACAATGTAATAGTATTTTTATTCACACTGCACACAAAAAAGAGTCACTAACAAATCACGAAGCATATTTTTTTCTTTTCTAAGGGTATGTTTGTAGGAATCAGAATGAGCAACAATACCTATTATTATTTACGAGGAATGCATCAAAACAATAGGAAGCTTATGAAATTAAAGAACGAGTTTGATGTATGATGATTTCCTGATGTATACAAGAAACCGTAGCTCGGTGGCGTAGTGGATAAGCGCCGCGGCCCGCGATCGTAGTCGTTAAGCAACTTTCGCAAGGGTCGGTCACGGGATGGGTGACCAAAAAATTATTATCTCGAGCTACTCCGTGCTTCGGAAGGCACGTTAAGCCGTTGGTCCCAGCTGCATTTGCAGTCGTCAATACCCTCCAATCCGCATTGGGACAGCGTGGAGGGTTATGGCCCATCCTCCTTAACCATCCATAAGGAAGGCCTGAGCCCCTGCAGTGGGGACGTAAAAGGGCTGGTGGTGGATACAAGAAACTGTTGTTCTCTCTCTCTCTCTCTCTAATAATGATAATGTTAGTTTCTCTATTTTAATATTAGCGCTATGCTATGAACTATTATTGTAATAAGAAAAAAATGTAATAAACTTTTGTTGCAGACTCTGACGACTCAGTCAAGGATCCCGACTACGTATAAATTCAAGATCAACGAAGAATTGAGAGTTCTAGTGAAGGTGAAGATATAATTATGGACGACGATAAAAATCCTACTAAGACTGATATACTTACAATACAGACTGCTAGCAAACAAAAAAATGATAACACAACAAATATAATGCAAAATACGATTTTAAATGAAGAAACAGATAACACAGTTAAACAAATTATGACAGGAAATGACGATAGAATGAAACAAAAAATACTGGATGCCATTGCAAGCATCGTGCCCACAGAAAGAGAAACACCAACATGTGTATCTGAAAATAGATATCCGACTGCAGACTTACAGATGAGCACCAATGAAGAAACAACACCTGCTAAAAAAGAAAAAATATCGTTAAATGAAGATATTGAACCTAAAAATCAACTACCGCCTGCAGACGTACAGAACAGACTAATGGAGAAATAACACCTGCAAGTTAAGAAATGCAGGACAGTCCTACGAATCAAAAGCATCACAAAAAACTGTTCCGCCTCGTCAACTAAAAGAACCCTGTAAGGAGACCTGCATTTTCAAGTGTAAAAAAAACTTTTCCGAAGAACAACGCCGTGAAATACTGAAAGATTACTGGAATTTAGGAGAGATCGAGAAGCAGTGGAGTTTCATTGCTACATCCGTTGAAGAAGCCATTCCAACAAATCGTTATGTCAAACTTGATGTTGAAGGACAGGTTATTGAACCAAAGCGAACTAATAATGCTTTTTATTTGATTTCGAAGGGGAAAAAATATAGAGTGTGCAAGGTGTTTTTCAAAAATACGCCTGGTATCGATAATCGGCCAATAACAACTGCATTAAGTAAGAAAAATAAGGAAACAAATATTTCCTTGATGACAGATAACCGTGGACGACATGGAAAGCAACCAAAAATTGACGATAATATTAAAGATAATTATATTAAAAAAATTAAAAAAATTCAATACCCAAAATTGAATCTCACTATACACGAGCCCATTCCAGAAGAACCTTCATTCATGGAAGCAAAACCATTGCTGATCTGCACCACGATTACGTCGAAATCTGCAAGGAAAAGAACGTTCCTCCAAGAGTACAACATATCATTTTTTACACCAAAAAAAGATATGCGTGACGTATGCGAAGCGTTTAAAAATTCATCACCCGAAGAAAAAGAAGCTAAAAAGGACGCTTATGAAATACATCATGAAGAGAAGAGATTATCACGATTAGAAAAAGAAAAAGACAAGTATAATATACAAAAATAAAGAGATTTCTATGACAGTAACGTGTCTTAATTAAAATCTTCCATACTTTTATATTACAGATTATCAATAAAAACGTAACAATACGACATAATTTATAAAGGTTTAGATTTTTATCCAAATTTTTTCAAGAAAATCGGTACATATCTGTTTGTTCTACAATACTGGTTTTTTTTTTACAAGAATGACGCAACAAGGGGGACCCTTTTTTAAATAAATAATCATAATAAATTTAATGACTAACTTAAAGGTCTGGATGCAATTTGATCCAAAAAAACGAAAACCTTGAAGTTATGTTGTATTGAGCTGAATAGTCTAAACAAAATAATTAAAAAGTTACAGGAATTCCAAACTTTCAAGAGCGTTTTATCACAAATTGAGAATTTTACTTTGTCACGTTCTTGTCGCAAATGAGCGATATTGTCTCTAGGTGTTGTGTTGCCTTCATTGTTTCATATTTCCATAATACAAGTGCTTTAGCTACTTAACTAGGGATACTTCCCTACTAGGGCAATGTATGTGGATTTTCCTAATTTATTAATAACAAATCAATTGCTATAATTTCAGGAAACTTATATAAAATCATAATTGTTGTTTAATAATATGGAAATTTTTATTTAAAATATAAAGGTATATAGTCTTTGTTAAATTAACGAAACTATAATATAAATGAGACCTTTAATTGAAATATTTATAGAGAATATTTCACATTGATTTGATACTATTTACTTGTCACTTTCTTCCGCCATGTTTTTTGAGCAACACAACCGAAACTTTGATTAATTATGAAACATGAAAACAATGAATCATTTTTACGCACTATTGTATGGGCTCTATATAAAGCTTTATTAATTAATATAATTTAAATAGAAACTATTTCAATTTTAATAACCTGTCACTAAAATATAAACTTGTCTAATGCATTAGAGGTTGTTTTCAGTGTATATAATACTAATGATAAAATGGAAAGGGTTTATTAATCAAGTTACTTAGTCAAGTATTCTTGAGCTTGTTTTGCTATGCACACATATTTTGCACTTGTAGTGTGTGCCTTAAAATTATTTAAAAAAATCCGTCTTTGGGGAAGAATGAGAAAGATTTCTGTCCTTGTCACTCCAGTGCGATGTTTACGGCTTAATAAACTTTGACGTCACTGTCTAGTCAAGATTTAAAACGTTCATATCTCAGTAAGCTATTGCATTGTTTCATTACTAATAGACTCCGTCAATTAAAATTGCCAGCATATTATATTGACACAATAAAAAGAAACTTCAACGATGAATATTCTTCACTTTAAAATCAACATTCTTTTTCTGAGACGGTACATGTTACTAATTGCAGATTCTACGTGATAACGGTACAGATTTTTTAATTCATATTATATTTTCTCCTTGCATTTATATAATTGCTTTATCTAAATGGGTACTTGTACCTGTACTATTTCTATCCTCCTTAACCAACCATAAGGAAAGCCTTAGCCCTTGCAGTGGAGACGTAAAAGGGCTGATGATGGCTGATGATCTAAGTCAATTCCTGCTATGATATTATAAATTTGCAATTAACTCTGTCTGTTTGTAACGCTTTCACATCTTAAACACTGAACCGATATTAATGAAATTTTAGTACTAAGATAGGGTTGTCCTAGGAAAAGGACATAGGTCACCTTATCGTACTTTATACTAACTTATCCTCAAAAAAGGGATTAAAGGTTTAGAAATAGAGGATGACATTTTGCTTGGACTTTTGTCACGTGAAAGATAAAAACATATAACTTTGCATTTAGGTGTTTGATAAATATATACCTATTTGTTTTAGAGTTTTAGAAATTTCTATCTATGAGGATTAAATCCTTCCTTATCCTCAGTAAACCCACTATCTACTTACCATTAAGTCATGGTAGCATATATTTTAACGATTTTTGTTTTTTTGTATAAAACCTCATAAAAGGGTGTAAGGAATAATATCACAAAAAAAAATTGTGATTTTATTATAATTGCGAAGATAATTACGTTATTAATGTCGGTAGTGTCGCTTGTGTACGTACAAAAATGAAGGTACTCACTTACAGTCAATTTTGATCGGACATAACCGACGAGTGGATGTGTCGATCTTGCGTCGATCTGCCAGTTACATAGTTAATGTCGGGAAAAATGCACGTAGGTTCTTTGGAGCGCCAAATTGTTGTGAAACATTACATACACTCTGATTTCAAAAGATATAATGTCGGTCGACCGCAAAGAAGCAGATCCTCAAGGATTTTAAGCCTTATTTTACCAAAAACGCAGTTGTTGAAAATGGTGCATGTAATGATACAGGTAATATTACAAAGTTATTAACTTTATATAAAGACTTGCCACTCATATTTTATTAATAAAATAGATTTCAAATTTATAATTTTGTATAGCAAATTATTTCCATTTTTTTGGTATAAGAAACAACGTATCTAGGAAAATTAACAAAATATACTTAGTTTTCCGATCAAAAACTTCATACCTACCATATCCGACTTATTGTACAGAATTTAATCTAGTCAAAAATGTTAAATGTGCCACATCCGACACGTAGTATAGAATTTTATACAACAAAAAAAGTTGGATCTACCACATCCTGCGTAAGATAGTAAAATATGTCCGTGTAAAATAGCTTCACGTGACATTGTAACGTATATAAAGTAAAATAAATTAATCTATTATATTTGTTTAATGTATCGTAGAATAAAAAACACCCATGCCTAATTTCGTAATCCTAACCCTTAAAATATCGTTTTTATTCAACTTTTCATCTTTAAACCGCTCTCCTGTAAAGTTGCATATTTGTAGATACTACATTAATGATAGGGCGTGGCGACAACCAGAAGCAAGTAAAATGAAACGAATCTGAGGTCCCGGGTTCGATTCCCAGTCGGGTCAATGTAGAAAATTAACTTTTCTACATTGTCTCGGGTCTGGGTATTGTTTTACCTTCGTTGTCTCAGATACTCCATAATACGGAGGCTTTAGCAACTCATCTGGGAATCTGAGCAATGCACGACATGTTGACTAATATTTATATTTATTAATAACGAGACAAAAGGTAAAGAAATTAAAACTTGTAAATATAATAAATTGGCATAATATTTGCTGAGATAACGTCTATGGCTAGAGAGTTGGCGGTCGCACCCCTGGTGTATATAAATACCTATCAAGGTTGTTCCACATTAAACTAATCAGATGAATATTTACACCAGGGGTGGGTAAGTAGATACTTACCATAATGTCATGGTGGCATATGGCAACCAGCAGCATGCAAACACGGTGACGATGGTTATTGTCATCTTGAGAGTTCTCTTCCGAGCTCGCGCCAGAGGTCGCTGGTCGGACCTCCTAAGCATTACGCGGCTGTGATCCGAATGCTGACATTTTTCTGTTAAGAAAAGAAATCATTCAGTCATAACCACGGAGGATGGATTTATATGCAAGTCACTTATAATGATAAGCTCTATGACTCAGACCCATAGCGCGTTTATTACTCAATTTATTTCTTTATTACAAAAAAAAAAAAAACAAAAGTAATTTTCGCAACAGCCCGATATTGGATCGTTAAGTTAGTAAGTTTGTTCTGCCATTGCGGAGATTAAGCCATTTTCGCGAAAGCCATTCGTTAATTTAAAAGATAATCCGCACTGAGCTCAAATGGTGATCATGCCCTATTCTCCATATTTGTTTTTGATTAATAGGAAAGGCCTGCCCCACCATTGGTGATGGTGATGAAATACATGACTAGTAAAATTATAAGTATGATTTCATTTACGAAAATGTAACTTTTTATAAGTGAAACAACTTTTAAAGGGTTTCATCGCGTTTGTATTTAGTTTTATTGACGTTTCGGACCCTTTACAGGTTCCGTGTTCACATAAAACTAAAGTTTTGATTGTCTTTTTAAGTAAAAGTAACTTAATAGTACTTCAAAAACCAATACTATTGGATACATTCACAATATATATTTTATTGGCAACATTTACATTTATTAAATTAAATTATTTTTAAAATACATTTGAGTTATTCATTTACCCCTGCGCTATTCTGTCAAGAAAGTACCGGGAAAAGATCAATAATACACAAACTGTTTGTTGTTCATCCAAATTTATTTTATCGCCTTCATAATATGCTTCTTCAGGTACGATACACTTACGCCAACAAATAATCCAATC